CATTAATTTCTGAATACCCTTTGTATTTGTATCACCTCCTGCCTGATTGTTACGTGGACCTATACTTAAATACATTATCTGGTAGATATTACGAAATACACGAATATAAAATTCGGGGGGGGGGGGGGGTCCTAAATACATGATATATGTTGTTTATAAATATATGAGCATTGTATGAACAGGAACAAAACATTGTAAAAATGTTAAATAAATCTGTTTGACTATTGATATCATCCTTTCACAGAAATAGTCGTGATACACTATAGTTTTCAAACCCAGTGAAAAGCAACATACCACAGAATATCCGCATGCGATGCCTCGTAAGTAATCACACTTCAGTCTTTAAAACTTATAACATTCTAGACAGCGAAAGTAAGTTCGATCTACCCTACCTATGCTGGATTCCCAAAATCATACAAATCCTTGCAAACAAAGATACATTGCTAGGTCCAGCAACTGCTCCACCAAGCCCCGCGACTTTACTCCTCTCAAAAATATTTAACTGCTGTAAAAGAGAAAGTTCAGACATACTATGCTACAGCATATTCTAGAAATGGCGTTAATCAAATGTGTATTTTAAAAAGTAAAAAAAAAATTAAACGGTTAAAAATAATTTTTCAAAAGTCAGTAACATCAAAACGTACGACTTTCCTTCACTTTATACGACCATTTCTCGCGACAACTAATGCTTTTCTGCGATTTTAAAATGTACTGACTACCTTTCTCGCTAGCCAGGTAAATATCTTACACTGCAAACTCCTTTGGCATAAGTTTTAAGTATAGCTTTGCATACTTTTCTATGCTGAATCGGCAAGAAACTTCGCCATTACTTAAAACAATGGTTAAATTCTATATCTGAGTCAATCGTACATGTATATCATACATTGATTACTTACCACGGATTATTTCCATGACTTCTAAAACCTATCACCTACCAGGCAGGCACGTAGGACGCCGGGGGGGGGGGTGGGGGGGGGGTCTGAGTATAGACTTATTCTACTGACAAATAAGTCGACGTTACAGTGAATTCAACGACCTCGTTGAAAGTCACCATCTTGTAAATTCTAAGGTCGTAATAATATTATAATGATCTTGTTTGCAAATATAACCTTAAATTGGATCGTATTTTGACTGGCACATTTCATAACAATTGTTAGGCCTACCTGATCAATGCTTAGGGCATTGTGGTGTGACCGGTCAACAGGGGATGCTTACTCCTCCTAGGCACCTGATCCCACCTCTGAAATTTCCAGGGATCCCTGTTTTATGCTCTATTCACAGATTTGTATTGTTTGTAGGTTTTCATAGATCGATTATCTTTACCTTTCGTGTACAACTGTAGTTAGCCTATTAATATTTGTAATGCAAACATATCATTTTACTATATGGAGTGAAAAGGCTTCAAATTTTTAAAAATATATATTGTTTTATGTTTGATAAAAGTTGTGATATTTATTTTCAAAATCTTGTTACGGGGGTCCAAAAGTTATGTCACATCTGCTTATAAAATCTTTAATAATGTTATCGACAAAATTTTTACATATTAATACCCCTATCAGTTCTGATTTTTGTTTTAAAATTTCATGCACTCATACACAAAATACTTTTTTAATAAAAAGATAAGCACAACGTTAGGATTGTCTATCGCAGCTAAGCTACAGGTGTAACGTAGAATATTGACTCGGGTTGAAAATTGATCCGGGGTTCATTTTTCGGTGTGTTCCCCGAACGTCTACTGGACTAAACCAACATCTAATTATCAGGTTTATTCCCCGAACGTCTACCGGCTAAAACAACTATTTAATTATCACACTCAATTAAGAGGCCCTCTAAGGGGTCCAGGTAGAGTTTACCTGTGTTACCTTGATTTAACAAAGTAGAATAAAATAATTTAATATTTACTGATAAAACTGTTTACTAAAGCACAGATTTATTGATTAAATACTTGCTTTAATTGAAGGCACTAAATAAATATTTTTTTCATATAGTATACATGTACATGTAATAAATATTATATTATGAATTATTTTCAAGCATAACTTTTTTTTAACCTAACACTTGGCACTTGAAGCATCACTTACACCACATTTTAACATGTTAAGCTTTGTTTAATCTATATTAAACATGGAGAATTTTTTTCACATCGCATTTGCAGGTCCATAGAACGAAAAAAAAGGGGGGGCATTTTTCTGAGCAAAGACTTTCCCTGTAGTATAGTTTGTTCCTCTAGGTCTAATATGTAAATTTTCATTTAGATGTTGCAACCTCTTACACTCTGTTGTTGTAAGGTCGAGCGCTGGTGAATATTCCAGCACTTGAAAAAAAAACCATATATACCTACCTCTTTGTTTGGAAGCAATATCTAAAGTTAGCACCGTTTTATTTACATCAAATTCAGACACGTTGTATCGTTTTTGAAAGAGGTGGGGGGGGGGGCAAAATTTTTTTGACAATTTACCTTTAAAAATATTGTCCAAACCCCAATTTCATTGGGGGGGGTTAAAATTCAAAATGATTTTTTTTTTCAAATAATCGTATCTTATTATTCTTATGACTTTAACCTTGGCCATAACTTTTGATCAATCAGTGCTGGGGCTTCCATACTTCACATGTGTATTCCTTGTGACAAGACCTTCCTTTGGATACCAACAATATTGGCCCATTGACCTTGAATTTGGTGTTTGGCCTACTTTAAAACAAACTATAACCTTGGCCATAGCATTTGAACATTTGGTTCTAGGCCTTTCATATTTCACGTACATGTGTATCACTTGTGACAGGACCTTCCTTTGGGTACCATTTGACCTTGACCTTGATGTTTTACTTACTTTTGAAAAATTTTAACCTTCGCCATAACTTTTCAATGGTTGTTGTTAGGGCTTTCATATTTCACAGGCATATTCCTCGAGACAAGACCTTTCTTTGGGTATCAACATTTATGATCTTTTGACCTGGAGGTTGACTGCATTTGAGAAACTTTAACCTTCGCCAAAAGCTGCCATACGGGGGCATGAGTGTTTCACAAACACATTTTGTTTCGAATATAAATCAAGATTTGGAATATAAATCGTAAGGTTACGAATATGAATAACAATTATTGAAGAATATTTATAAGGAAGGCGTTTATGCATAAAATTATCACGCAAACCAAGTGCTTGATCATCACCATAAAACAAAAAAATGTCTGACAGTTATTCCTCATATTTATATGCTCTTGATTCGTAAATTCACGTGCTCCAAGCCCCGCCTACTTCTCTCTCTCTCGCCCCGCACGTGATTTTTTGCCACGCCTATCGACGAACCAGTAGCCTTATGTAGAAATCAAGTATTTTTATTATTTGTAGTTTTATTTCGAAAAAAAAAATTTTAAATGTATAAATATTCAAATATAAATCACAAGACTATAAGAATATGCGTGAATCACAAGTTTTTGAATATGACTGACAAGTTCTTGAATACAAAGACGTTTTATCAAACAGAACTGATGTATTGAGAGAAAGGTTGTTGTTGTTTAAGTACTTAATTTCAACACAGCCATGAATTAATTACCCGTGTTGAGCTCATGGCGACGGGTAAGTTGCGGAACGTAGTGCTTCGGGACATTTCCGCAAATTTTGAAAAAAAAATCCTTTTTTTTTACTTTTCCTCTGAAAGTTTTGTTACGTTTCTAAAAATACATGTATATATATATATATATATATATATATATATATATATATATATATATATATATATATATATATATATATATATATATATAACTCATACCTTGTAGTTGATCACGCCCACATATTTATATGTATCGCGGCACGTGTCAACATTGCATGTTGACATATACATAATATATGTTGCATGTCAACATATCCATCTCGCATGTCAACTTAAATAAGTTCCAGGTCAACATAAATAAATTGCATATCAGCATAAATAAGTTGTATCTAGCATGCTGGAAGTCACATGTGTGCGATATTTGATAATTTTGAAAACTTTCTCAAATTCTTAATTGATTACATTTTTTTTTTTTTTTTTTTTGCATGTTGACTTAATTATGTTGCATGTTGACATAATTATCTTGCATATCATAATCTATAGAAAAATAACTTGCACACAGGGGGGGGGGGGGGGGGGAGAAACATGCCACCATTAGCTTTTTTTCTTAAATTACTTTGTTATCATCTTTGGTATTCGTAAGTTTATATATAATTTTTGTGGATTTCAATTTAGGGTATCCAGTCAACTCGAACCCATTCCCACTCGTACCCAAATCGAGTCGTACCCAAAGAGTCAACTCGTACCCAAAACTGAAGTCATAAAATAAATAATGAAAATATTTCACTTTGTGATATATTTTCATAAAGATATCTGATTTATTATTCCAATTTAGTTACACTACTTATATTTCATAAAATAATGACAATTAAATTTAAATTTGTTTGAAAAATTCAACTTGGCATAATATAGATATAGATAGGGCCTAATAGATTTATCAGGGCCCTTTCAGGCATCACAAACAACGAGCATGATTTATGCAATTACAAACAGCACAGACAAATTATGTGTATTCTAAATAATCTGTAGTACATGTCTTTGTATGTAGTATAACACTGTATATGTAAATAACAGTTTCGAGTACGAGTTGACTCTTTGGGTACGACTCGGTTCGCGTACGAGTCGGTTTGGGTACGAGTTGACTGTAAATCCAATTTAGGGAACTGATTGAAATTGAATTTTTCAATGCCATGTACTTTTGTTGTAAACAAAATATCGAAATACATCTCTCAATTTTTCATTGGGTTATAAAAAAAATCATGGGAAAACAATATTAATTTACAACCCCTTAATATTCAAACTGTGTTCTTTATGTCAAAGTTTGAGAGGACCCCTCGAAGAAACTCATATTCATCTTTTTATATGCTCCCCATGGAACCGGAACTTAAACATTGATCTCGTGATGCCACGTTTGAGCATGACGTCATATGCAAAATAATTCCACCCCTAACTGTGCATGCGCAATCACGAAGAAGGAAGCCATATTGAACGAAGGTGTACGACGAAGTAACAGTGACATATACATTTACAATACAGCTATTCTGAGGAAGAAGTGTGAAAGAAATAGCTAGATTCCTTAACATATTATGTCCACAATGAACCCCGAATAGTAAGTATTGCGCTGATATCATAAGAAGTATCTGTAAATGGACTACGTCATCATTCGTCATCGTTCTGTTGAAATCGACCTGTCACAACTTCAATGTGTGTTCTATCTCGTGACTGCATTTACCCCCTGACTACTTTATGAAACGAACATGTCTTCACGATTTAGTCGATGGAGATAAAATAAGTTAAGATTGGACGTCTTCTGGAATTATAACTAACAAAGTAGTGTACATCAACTGGCTGGCTGTAATGTCACAAGTGTTGAGTCAAAATCAACACGTGTAACTTGAAATCAACTGGTCAATATATCCTGTTGTAGTGGGCACTGTTTGTTTAAACAAAGTTCTTGAATTGTACATATTACATATTCTACTGTAATCTTATTGTTTTGAAATTGTATTAAAAAATACAATGAATAGAAAGTGGGTAAAAAGTTTATTTTGTGTAATTAAAATGTAAATGTTTATATTTCACCCCCTTCTGGCTTTAACTGGCAGTCTTTATCCAAAATCCCCTTGCCTTTGTTAAAAATTTAAATACTAAGTACATTATTTCATGATATTCAGATTAAATGCACAGAATGAGGGAGATGACTCCGTTATTTTCTATGATCAAAGCTCTGGAACAGTTGATATTTGTAATGTCAGGAAGCAGAAAATGTAACATTAATTTATAGCATAAACGATAAATCAAGATTTACAATGTACATGATGTCGGAATGTTAAATAAATGTAGTTAAAGGGTAAATCAAGAATAAGAAATGTACATACAGGTTCAACATAAACATTTTTAGGCTTTAGTCCAGCAGGACTAGTGCTTCTTTACATTTACTAGTCCGTGTGCGATTTTATGAGTCCGTCCAAAAAAGGAAAACCAATGTTCTCTAAGGATTTAAATAAATATTATAATGTACCTTTTATACTTTTTTGAAATTAACAAAGCATTTGTGTGAAATGTTTTATTCCACAGATTTGTTGCAATCTCATGATCAGGAAATACGATCATATTCCCAATCGCGTTATTTTTTCTCTATATACATCCAAAATGCCTGACATTTTTCTTTATGTGTCATACTAAATCATGATTGCATAAACATTTAACTTCATATCATGTCATAAAATTAAGCACTGAATTGACTTGGATTCACCTAGATAGAACGTTCTATCGTCAAAATGATATTGTCCTACGGACCCCGTTTAACGATAGAATTCGTTCTCTGTGTTGGCGATGTAGCAAAAAATTATAATAATAAATAAATAAACACAGGCGATAACTTGAACTCTGTGCATTTTCTATGAACAACCCAGAGAGTTTTGAATGTCAACATGGAGTGTAAATTTGAAGTGAGGAAAAAACATTTAGAAAATTATTTGAATTTTGTATTTATATGGATTATTTTTTTAGGTTAAAAGGCATATACAATCTCAAAAAGGTTTATGATTAATTTGGTACTTATTTTCAGTGCAACTCCTTTTGTATTCTTCAAAATCATTTCGGAGTGGATCCGCTTCGATTTGCTACATAGCAAGTATATGGGATGTTTTCTAACCATGGTGAGGGCTTGTCCCAAAGACATAGTTAGATTACTCTAACTAGGATTCACCTAACTACTCAGCAAGAAGCTAGAAAGCGAAAAAATAAATACGGGGTTTTCCAGTATAAGTTGTCGAGAATTGAACACCAGTAATTTAATCATTTTGATTTCCAGAAATTTTTATTGGTCCGTTCGGATTAATTGGCCACAAATTTTACTGGTCCGAATGATAGTGATGTACCGATTAATCGATTAAATTGATTATCTAATCGAAATCGACCCCGATTATAGATAATCGATTATAATTTTGATAATCGATTACTTATTATTAGTTAAAAGCAAATTATTCCTTTGATTTTTGATTCATTCTTCATTGAATTTAACTAGATCCTAAATAATAATAATCTAATAAATGAATTCAATGATACAAAATATATCAAAAATGTATTCTAGAAATCACTCAAGAATTTTTAACCTATTTATTCTTCATTCAAAACTGAACAAATTTAATATTTGAAATTGATCGATTATTAATCGATTATAGTGCATCCGATTATTCCGATAATCAATTATGAAAAAAATTCCAATTTCCAATCACTACTGAATGAAAATAAATTAGTCTGAGACTAATGGACTAACGTTAGTGTTAAATCCTGACATTTATCTTTGTTACTCGTGTTGCAAAAATAATGGTAATGGAAATGTACTGCATGTCACTTCAGATCAGTTGTTGAAAGACTACAGAATACATTTTAAATGTCATTTTGTTTCTGTTTCAGTGATTATTTATTTAAATTATTGTTGATTGGTGACTCTGGTGTGGGGAAGTCTTGTCTGCTCTTACGATTTGCAGTGAGTATCTTTGAAGTCTAAAATGTATATTACACTCAAAAAATATTTTTATAGTAAAATTGGAAATATAGCTGTATGACTAGATAAAGATTAGATCAAGTATCTCATTCTTTAATGTCCATACAAGTGCTTGTGCTAGTTTAACCACCTCACCTCTTATTCTTAAAATAGTAATCATGCTGGATTGCCATGCTATAATTTATTAAATCATAAAAAGGATACTTTATAAAATGAAGTAATAAACAAATTTGCTTGATACATATTGGCGATGCTATGAAGGAGAAAAACTTTGTAGAAGAAAATTTGTTATGGTCAAGTGTAACTCCTGTTAAAATATACATTGTTGTGTTTCAATATAAAGAGAATAATAGCAATATTATGAAGCTCCCTGTTGTCTTTTACAATATATTAAGCACACTGAGCACTTGTTAGGGCTGTTGTGTTATTTTTAAATTGGTTCAAGGAAATATGTTGAAGCATACATTTCAAAGGTTGTGAGAATTTGAATGAATAAATATTTTTTTTAATTTTAACAGGATGATACATACACAGAGAGTTATATAAGTACTATAGGAGTAGATTTTGTAAGTATTGCCAAAAATGATTTATTATTAAAACTGAAAAGTAAATAGAATTTTACAACCATCATGTTCTACCAATAAAATTATTATTCAGTATGTTTTGAAGATTGATTGTTGGGTTTGTTACTCAGGAACTTATGTCTGTTTTAATCCATTGACAAAATCAAATGTGCAATATGTTAACTTAAGTGTTATGTTTTTCAGAAAATTCGAACAATTGAATTAGATGGGAAGACAATAAAGTTACAAATAGTAAGTATAATAGAAAAAAATTCAGTAAATCTTGTGAATCATTGCTTGTTAATGTTAAAGGCGCATTTGTGGGATAATAATTACCTTCACTTTAATAATTAATTAAAGTACATATACATGTATTACCATTTTGAAATAAATTCATTGATATTGAAAGGTTAAAAAAAGAAAAAAGATTAAAAAAGAAATTTTCTAGTGTACTAGACAGTAGTGAAATGAGATGTTTTGTAGTGGGACACTGCCGGACAGGAACGATTCAGAACAATAACATCCAGTTACTACAGAGGTGCTCATGGTATAATCGTGGTCTACGATGTCACTGACCAGGTAAAATATACTTTGTATTTTAATATTTATAACAGTAACTTTATCAAGAAACATATCACTTCATGTTGACAGTCTGATTGTCACAGGGCTCAACATTAAACAGACTAAACCAGTCAGACTAGTACCTGAAAATCTTACTATTTCATCAGACCTGACCTAATATCCATGGATCATTGAATGACTCAATTAATTATTACTAAGTATTGACATGATTAAAAAAAACTAATCTAATAATGACACCATCAGTAAATTGATGGTTTTCTTTTTAGGTCACCTAAGACACTCAGGTGACCTATTGTGATCTGTCATCAGGTATCCGTTAACATCTGAACATTTTCAGCTTTCTCTCTGGAACTGCTAAACCAATTTCAACCATTTATGGTATATAGCATCTATTGGTAAAGGGGGCAAAACTTTGAATTTCAGGAACCCCCCCCCCCCCCAGTTCTTTAGGGGTGGGACCAAAACCATCAAAATAAATGCAATCTTCAAACATCTTCTTGACTCCTGATTTTTTTATTGTGTCCTTAATAATGATCAGTGTGTGTCTATGCCACAAGAAGTCTCCCTAGAATTTTAGACTTCTCCCTAAATTTCTCTGAGGGAGAAGTGAAGTCTCCATAAATTTTGGATCTAGGTTGGTCCCTGTCAATATGGCTTATCATGGCTTTAATGATCATTAGAAATTTTTTTTTAAAGATTTTCCTAATATATTCTTATTTAAAACTAGATTCTCATCCAAATTTTTTGAAAAATCAAGGCGGGTGGGTGGATTTTATTTTATACTTTTTATTTTTTCTATTGTGCAGATTTTTTGTTGACCTGATCAATCGGTGCAGATTTATCTATAATGCCCGAATAATAGTCACAGTAGAGGTCCATTTAAATATGCATATCTCTGAAGGGGAAGAAGGACCTTGAGCTGAAAAAATACCTGTCATTCAATTTTTTTCATATTTTGTATATTTCTTATTAAGTATGTCCCACATATCTTAAAGCAGTTATATCACTAGGTTTCTTACCTTATTTTAGAGATATTGATTGACAAATACTATGCCTTACAGTATCTAAATAGAATTTTAGTTTTCCATGTTTCCGGGCCCATTACTCTGTCCATAATGGGATTTTTTAAGCAAAAAATAAAATACATGCAAGTGGACATGTATCTTTTAACATTCGAAAAAGCAAGTTTTTTCTATCACACTGCATCTGGATAGCGAAAATTACGTACTTTTTAACACAACTTTAACAACAAAAAACGTAATTTACCAAAAATTCAATCATTCAATATTTTTAAATTTACGTTGAAATGTAAGTCCTTCAAATTATTGATTAACTGTAAAAATTTCGAATGGTTAAGCTGACCTCAATATTGCACAGGACATCGTTAAAGAGGACATAAGCATGACAAAAACGTGTCATGTTTACATTTCTCGAGTACGGGAAAAACCAACTATGACGTCACACGTAAGCTAAATAAGCGAAATAAGATATACCTACATAAGATTTCCGTCATCAGCCATGCAAAAAGAATTTTTGTGTTCCCCGTGTCTCAGAATATTTTATCATATACTGATTAAGACCTGTTTTCACAAAGTAATACAGCCCCTGTATTTACCGAGTATGATCTTGCTGTACTAACAAATCGTGTATGACGTCACCGACTTGTTGGACGCGCAGTTTAGGGAAACAGAGGAGTGGATCAATCTTTTTCATAATTTGTTAATGTTTACAAGAATTTTAAAACTTTTCATTTTTTTAATATAAGGTGGTTATTAAAGTTAAAAAAATGTCAAAAAATTATACAAGAACTGATGCTTTACACGTTTTGCACTTATATAAACGGAGACTATGACGTAGTTAAACAGAGTCATGTGACCATGTGTCCTTCATCCCCTTAATACACATCATCATAAATCTTTCACAACCAATGATCCTTGTTTAATACCAATGATCCTTGTTTAATACATATATATTACAGCAATTACCATCTTCATGTTCTTGCCAGCTGTCAAAATCATGCCAACATTCGCGGGATTTAAAACAAAAGTTGAATGATAGTTGAATACCGATCCCGATCAGAATCAAGACAAAATAAAACAGAAATTTAAAAAATCAAGGCTGGGGAAAAAAATAGGGGCGGGCGGGGATGAGAATCTAGGAATTCATTTATTATGGCCTAATGTATATACCTTAAATGCATTTCAATAATTCTTCTGTATTACTTCAACATACTAAGAATACTTATAAAAGAGACAAAAAGATAGATTTAAAAAAAATATTTAATTACTTGATATTTCCAATTACAAGGTATATTAATATCTAGCAGGAAAAAAAAATTACATATTGTCAATCTAAAATTTTCTAATTGATAGACTTTAAAGGTTTATCAAAGTAATTTCATTTCTTGCATAGTATGCACTCTTCACTGTTTAATAAATTCACACATCCCTCTCTCTTCTAATCTTTATATTTTCAGGGCCTTGGCAAAGTCATAGTTTTGGTATTTTCTTTGCAGAGTTCATTTTCAATAACAGATTCCTTTTTAAAAAAAATCAAGCAAACCAAAAAAAAAACAAAAAAAAAACAAAAAACAAAAAAACAAGATCTACTGCATGCCAATTGAGTGACGTCATGTTTATCATATATGTGCATATGTGTGATCTCTTAAGACAGTCAATAGCTCTACAATTTAACAGTAAAAATGTGTCTGTATTCACAGCATGAAATGATCATTTGACATTAAAAAGGTATAAAATCATCTCCAATGGTCATGAGTGATAACACCAGATTTATAAAATAGTGACAATATTACCATGTGTTCTTAATACTGTAGAAGCACAAATTTTTGTGGGAATAAGATTTTGTTGATTTGTCATCTGCAGGGTTTGAAATTAACAGTCGCCCACTCGCAATTTGCAACTAATGTTCCATGTGGGCGACTTAAAATTACGTTCAAGTTGCCCACATGGCGATAAGAAAATTTACGATAGTAAATATTTGTTTTTCAATTTTGTCCGAATATTTTGTATTTTTCTCTTGAAAAATTTCGTAATCAGTAAAGTGCTTTATAATTACCCGTAAGAAGTACTTATACATAAAGCGTCTAAGTGATTGTTCGGGCACAATGTGGCATCGACGAGTCAATGAGCCCAAGAAACCAAAAAGTACTGTTGTTATTTGTGAATGAAAACATGCTATGTGCTCTATATATGATATTGAATGATCATATCAATCTTCATAAACAGAAGAGTTCCACTTCAAATTTAGATAAGTCCTGCATAATGTTACAACGGATAGAAAAGAAACACAAAGCACATGATTAAAAAAAATGAAAAATGGGGTTGTTGTTTTTATATTCAATAGACAGTGTGATAATCTGTGGGCAAATAAATTTTGTGGGCCCCAGAATTGCAAGATTCAGTAGCCCACATGGCTATAAAGGATTACGAGTTAGTGTAAAACCCTGCATCTAAAAAAAATTTTTTGTGATCATTTAATTTTGTTGTCTCAAAAGTAACCTTATTCAATATATAGTCATAAAAATTTCGTGTGGGATTTAATTTCATGAATAATTGTTAACAATGAAATAAACGAAATTTAATTTCCAATGAATATTTCTGCTTTTACAGTAGATTTTTTGATTTTAAAAAGGGGGGATGAAAATGTAAGGCGGCTTAAACTTCTCTTTCGTGATAGTTTGGAGCTCAAAAGCGATTATTTCACCTCAGTCGCCCCATAGGTTGGTTCTTGTGCTGATATGCAAGCATCCTCAAATAGTTGAGATATGTTTGTTGTTCAGGTCAAGGTCCTAAAGAATAGGTTGAGACTACAGTAGGAGATAGATTTTTACACAGGATTCCAGAGGACACGATCTTTAAAAAGATTTGCATGATCACACTAAATCTTGTTTAAAAAAAGCAAAATATACTAAGATATGTAGAGCATTTTTTTTTTTAAATTATGACTCCAGAGGTTAGAGTTGAGGATAAATCAAAGATTCAAATTTTACATAATGCATGCAAAAAATCTCCAAAACAGCAGGACTATGTTGATAGTATCCCAGTGATTTGCTGATTAAACTTTGAATAAATCATAACTCTTTTAGGTCTAGATTTTGGTTGACAACACAGAGTCAGATTAATTATGAAATAAGAGAGGAAAATTTAAAAAAAAAAAAAAAAAAAAAAAAAAAAAAAAAAAAAAGCAGGACCAAAGTGACTCAGGTGAGCTTATTGTCCATGGGCCTCTTTTCAACCTTTACATTGGTAATGGATGTTCCATGTGTTACTCAAAATAGAAGGGAGTAAATTCTGAAGTAAAGTGTACAAAGGGACTGCACATGTATTTCAGATTGCTTAAAAGATTGTTCCCATGTTGCTCCTTTGTGTATGATTTAACGAAAGTGTTCAGAAAAAAATCTTGTCTTATTTAATAGTCTTTTTTTTTTTTTTTTTTTTTTTTTTTTTTTACAAATCCATGTGAATCTTTTCTCCTAGACCATAAGAATTTCAAACAGAACTGTTTTGGGTGGAGGGGGTTGCAGAAATATTAATATACATATTATTGTGTTGCAGGAGTCATTTAGCAATGTGAAGCAGTGGTTACAAGAAATTGACAGATATGCCAGTGAAAATGTCAATAAATTACTTGTGGGCAATAAATCAGACATGGAGACCAAAAAAGTGGTAGATTACACAACAGCAAAGGTAAGAAATAAGCAGCAAATGGAACAAGTGTATACAAAGAATTGTGGCCCTGCTCTGTCATTGTCTTAGTGGTTGTGATGCAATTAATTATGGCATATTGTAAATGTCTTGTCTATATGTCCTGTCTTGTGTGTCCATCATAAAAGATTTAAATTAAAACTGCATCAAACTGCAAGATCATGAGGTAAAATATCATAGGTCACGAGTAATGCTAATGTGAAATGAAAGCCCTGTCTCTTCTAGAGCAGAAGTAGGTCAAACTTCAAAGTCAAGGTCAGAGGGCCAAAAATCATAGTGCATTTGGAAAAGTCTTGTCAGAGGTAATTTACATGTAAAATATGAAAGCTCCATTTTTTTCTCATTCAGAAGTTATGACCAAGAAGTTTTTGTGACAGACAGGCAGACTGACAGACAGATGAGATTTAATATCCCCTTGCTTTCGTGAAAGCAAGGAACAAAAATAAACTACAGTATAATACTTCAAGATTATTATGTGTATATTATGTTGTAAGGAAGTCTCATGTATGAATATTAAAAGGAAGTATAGAGTGATTGTTATTGGTGTGAAGCATATTATTATAACAGGGGTATGTTTATTTTCATGTTGAAAGCCAAATTTAAAAAAAAAAAAAAAAAAAAAGATTGAAGTGTTGATTATTTGCTGATCCCTTACCCTCTGTTGATTTCTAGGAATATGCTGATCAGCTTGGAATTCCATTCCTGGAGACAAGTGCAAAGAATGCTACAAATGTGGAACAAGCATTTATGACGATGGCTGCAGAAATCAAGAACAGGATGGGACCTGTCATTTCAGCCTCACAGGACAACAAACCCAGTGTAAAAATTAACGCTAGCAACCCTGTCAAGCCTTCAGGAGGGTGTTGTTAATTGTAGTCATTGTATAAGACACACAATTTATATTTGGGGGTAAAACTCTTGTGTATCAGACAGTCCATTCAAAAGCGACGGAGTCTTGTTATACCAAAATATAGGAAATATCAGAATTAGAGACTCTAAAGTCAAGAATTTTAAGTTCTGTCTTCTGGCAGGATATGATGGTAATGGAGTCTTTCTTGTATTAATGGTATTCTTTTCTCTTTTTTTGTTAATGTGTGTCTATTTTCCCCTTTGCTTTTGATTAATGATTTATTAATACTTTATGGTTTTCTAGTTTATTTCAATTTTGATAACCTCATTGATGGGAGGAAAATGAAAGTGTAACATTTATTTCAAAAAAAAGTGTTAAATTTGTATTTATTTGAAAGCTAAAAATATTTATGCCTTTAATTATAAGTGTACAGTTTTCAATATTCCTTGTATATGTAAGATGTGAACACTTTTTAAAAGTGTTTCTCATGTCAGAAGTATTGAATCATAAGCTAAACAGTGTGAGCATTCCAATGTCATTTCCTCCCTTTCAGTCCTAGATAACTGTATGTTAATTAGGAAGGAAATGGGATTTTATCAAGTAAATCTGGGATGGTAGCCATATTCTGACATGAAAACAGTTTTTCTTTGTGAGAACATCTCATTTATTTATCCCATTTTATTGTCCTGATCTATTTATCAGAATGACTTGTTTGTTGAACATCTTTGATGAGAGAATGGATCTCTGTATGTTTTATTCTAGTACTGTAAACACGTCACTCACTAGAATCATTTTCTTTATATCAAACTACACTGAATAGCCAAAATACATATGTGAAATGCATCTTTTGAAGGAAAGATTTAAGGTTACATAATTTTCTTTCCATGGAAGTATTTATGGGGGGAAAACGATTTTCACAGCGATTAGGAGAACAGGTAAAAACTCTTATGACAAGTTACAAAATAAATCCAATTTTCAACAGTTGTTGCCAGCTTTCATATCATGATTCAGAGCCTATTCATGTGCATCTTTCTGATTTTTTTTTTTTTTTACTGTATGAAAGCATAAAGCATGTGTGAATGAGATATTTTTGTTTGTTTTAATCCAGATATTACAATTGTGACAGAGTTCAGTATGATTTCAATGTTAATTGGCCACTTTTGAGAAAATTGCTTTTGTGGAAACATATTTACTGAAGGTTGAAATGTGCTAAATGTACTTTCATTCAACATATGTAAAAGTGCATAATTTCAAAATGTACAAAGATTTAGAAGTAAATATTTTTAATATTATAATGAGCAGTTTGGGTTTGTTTTCAAGGAAGGTACTGCCATTCATGGTTGTGACAAGAATTCATAAGTTGATTTGGAAAAAGTTTGTTAATGATTGGACATAGCATAGAAAAATGGAAAGATAAAAAGCATTGTTAATGGATGGTCGTTCTTAGTAATACTTAAGGTTATATCAATGTTACATGTATATTAACTTGGGAGCAATGAACTTCTTGCCTCTTGGGAGCAAGCAGGCTTGTTATTTGATATGATTTATGTAACATTCACTATTCTTCAGTCAACAAATAAAATATGATAAATTTTTCATCCGATGTTTTCTTCTAAATGGGAGTACTTGGAATGAAATGTATATAAAGTTTGGAAAAATGATTAAAGCCATTCACAAAAATAGTCAGGTCTGAGAACCAAATATAATTGATTATAATTTGTCAGTAGTATCAATTTCTAAGAAAATTGCAAATCGTGTTTTGAATGCAGAGTTGGCAAGTTTTTGGTGAAATACTTCACTGATCTGTATCAAGGGTAACAACTGGCATATAGGCTAAATGCCCAGGTTGCCTGCATTCAATGTTGAAACCTACCACCCCAACCCCCATTGTGCAAACTTGTACAAAAAATTATTTCACATATTAATGAATATATAATTTTGTTCTACATAAGACTAAATTTGGCCCAATACTGTTCTCGAGAATTCTTTTTTTTTTTTTTTTTTTGGTTCAAAACTTTACACTTGTGGTCCTACCCTAAGGCCCAGGGATCATGAAATATTGAACAATTCAGAATCTACACTTTTGACATGATTTTTGTCTAGCTGTCCGTCCGCCTGTCACATCTTGTATCTTAAACAACTGTAAGAGGTATGAATTTGATATTTTGCATATACATGTATATTGCTTGGCACTACGGCTTTTGTGAAATACCATGATTACCGATGTTGTGACCCTTGAATTTGACCTACTTTTCAAAATAGTAGTGCCGATATACAACACATTATTGACATTTAAGACGCAAGTTCATGCTATTTAGCATTTACACTGTTTGTCATAAAACATTCTGAAAAATGCCAGCGTTGAAGACCACTTAACCCTATACTTTTGACCCACTTTGCAAAAAATGCTCCGGGCAGTTTAATATAACTTACATCTTTTTAATTTTTGAGAGACAGGATTTTGATAATTTGCCTTTATACATGATACTGTACTTTGAAACTGTATGGTATACAGTTACCACACAAACTGAAATTTGAATGCTATGAAAATACAGGTAAACTTCGTTATCTCGACATCGACGGGACCATCGGAAAATGTCGAGATATCCGAGGTGTCGAGATATCAGAGTTGAGACTTGACGTCCAAGATTTCATTGCATACAAAACAGACAAGCTTATTATATGTACATGACTTCAATATACACTGTAGCTCAACATATTTCAGAATTCCCTCTATTTTTATTAAAAATCTAAGAAGTTATCTTAAAAATCTTGTTTATAAAACGTGTTTTTTATCGAAATCTTTCTAAATTCACAAAGTCACAGCATTCGCGTGTAACTTGCCTTTTTGTCAGAAGAGGATACGAAATGCGCTCTATAAACTTCGAACCGCATAAAGTCGACATCCGATATACGGAAAAAATTAAATGCGTATTTTTTTCTTATTTAATTCCGGAAGAATGTACATTAAAATTAATTTTTTAAAGAGATTTGTGTATTTAAACTAACGTAGTGATGTTACAGATGCATGAATTAGGCCTGATTCTGTCAATCGTGTCCTTAATTGGATTGTTTCCTGTTGCATACATTTCAACTTCAAAAGATCATTAAAACATCTTTTAATTCCTTACTTTGAATTATTCCGTGTGTTTGTTATTCATTGTAATTTAGTTACATTTTTCAAATTTAAAAGTTATGTTAGGTTTCGATATAAATAACCGTCTGTACATTTACGCAGAATCGTGTAGATTTAGCGATGATATTACCCAAGCTGAACATTAAGCAATAAACTTCTCGAAGACGCCGAGGCTTGGGATTCACATACAAACACAGTCTATAGAATTAATTAGCAGCGTGCAGTCAAAACAAGGGTGTGAAAGGTGTGAAATTTTAAATTGACGACGTCGAGATACCCGGAGTCGTCCGTGCGTGACGAGCGACCCTATCTGACAAACAGTTAGGTTCAGTAGAGCAGAAAATTCATTATTGCCGATGTCGACATATACCAGGTAAATTTTGCTCTTGGGACTGGGAATATACGTCGAGATAACCCGGGTTGTCGACATAACCGAGGTCGACATATCAGAGTTTTTGCAAATCATTTATATAGTAAATACTGCCGGGACCGCGGAAGGACGTCGACATATCCCAGGTTGTCGACATATCCGATGTCGAGATACCGAAGTTTACCTGTACATCGAGATCAATATACCAAAAGGATCATTGTAGACTTACGGTAAAGACAGACTGAAATCTCATTAGGAGGGTAGTTGAATTAAACACGCATTAATGAAATAAAAAATAATTTCAGTTCCATTATTTATTTTAGCTTTGAGATTCGGGAATCAGGAATCGTATTTTTATTTGATTGTCAGATTTTATAGGATAATTGCTACTATATCAGTCTATATGTGACTTTTCAACTTCGTACTTGTTTCAAAGATGCTAAGAACAGCAGGGTCAAAGTTACTCGAGTGAATGTTGTGGCCCCTGGCCTCTTGTTGATATTGCATGGGAATTTGATTGATTGTATGTTACTTTACATCCCATTCTTGAATTTTTCACTCATATCACCATATACCGGTGAAGGGCTTAAAATTTAGACTTTTACTCGGCACTCGGGGCCATTGACCTGTGAGGGCTTTTTATCGTGCCAGCGCCTACTGTGACACAGGGACTCGTTTTTTAAGGTCCCATCTGAAAGACCTGCAACTTTCACTTCAAAGCCAGGCCCGTAGAACGCGGGGGGAGCCGAAGGGGACCCCACTTTTTTCTGAGTATTTTGCTATAGTAAATTTTCCTTTAGATGCTGGCCCCCTTACTTTTTGATGTTAAAAGGTCGAGCACTGGCAAATTCCAGGATATGGACAGTATTTTTTTTCTTTTTCTTTTTTTTTCCTTGTCAGATAATTTTGGGAAGTTGCAGCCCCCCCCCCCCCATCACCACTTTTGGTCAGTTTAGTTTGTTTGGTTGGTTTTTTTTTTTTTTTGGTCAGATTTCTTTTTTGGAAGTTGCCCCCCCCCCCTTAGCTTTTGAAACCGTTGCTACGGGCCTGCAAGCGCTTGGCTAAGGAACAGTTTCTACCTCTCTTTTATTGTCTGTCGTGGCCGGTACTTGAACCCACAACCTTCGGATTATGGAGCGAGGGATGGGAATTTGTACTGGAAACATGTTCAACTTTGTCAAGAGAAGTTTGGTTGATGGAGGCATGCATTCCCTGTAAAGGCTTCTTTAGATGTTGGAATTAAGAGCTATTACAGAAATATACTAGTATAGGTAAAAGCATATTTTTGCCCCCCCCCCCCCATAAAAGGCAAATTAACCTTAGAAATGCATGTAAACAATTGTATATATTGTATGAAAATTCTTCATTTACCAAACTTATTACGGTTTGGACGTAGATTATCGTCAATGCTTGTTTCTGTGACGTCACAAACTATCTGAATTTTCCGGGTTTTTTTTTTTTCAAGATAAAGGGCAAAATTTGTTCAATTTTGAGTATAAAATTTACTGAGCGCAAGCTCGCTCCAGAACAATATTCACACATTTGATTGATATAATTCTACACATTATATCAAAAGATAGAGCTGGGGCAGACCTGCGCTCTATGACTTTTAATCAAAATATCGACGTAAAATAGTTTTTTTTTTCCTCTCAAAATCCTTGAAAATTTGAATTTACGTCATCTTTTTTATGTCATATCTAACATATGACGCTATGGTTGATGAAAATCGATAATGCTCTCAAGTCTGCATATACCCCTGTGGTTTAGAACATAACTATAGATTTCTTCCATCAAAGTTTGAATTCAGGGGCAGATATTGGTAACAAATATAGTCCTTTACTAAAATTTACAGTGGAAAATTTAAAATTTCTAATATTTTAGCTAAAGAACTTATAGAGTATCTACTTTCACATACAATGTATATACTGTGATTGAATAACATTTTAAAATTACATGTTTCATCAGGCCCAAACTACATTTAGACAACTGACCAGTCAGCAAGGGCCCCTGAGGGGTAGAAATATAAGGGCGCAGCTTACGGAATGAGAATTTTATTTGATTACAAAAAATTAAAAATATATGAAGAAGAATATGCAAAAGCAGCTGTATTTATAGAATTTCAAGATAATTCCTAAATATCCAACAACCTGTAAATAGTTTTTGTGTATTTACATAAAGCAATAAAAAACATCATATCTTATAATAACTCAATTAAATGTATATTTAAACAAGAATGAAGCATGTGTTTTATAAAATGCCAGCCTTCAGTGAATGCAAATATCACCCAGGCTTGACCTTAACTTCAAAACAAACACCAGTTGCAGACAAAGGTGTTAATTAATCTTGAAGTGACAAAGATAAGCCTCTAAATTTTCTTCAGCAGGCACGATATTTAATCCAGGGGATTTATTGTACTGCTCTCTCATCCTTTTCTTCTAAGTTTACAATAAGAACTTTTTCAGCAATGATAAAATGAAGTTATTATCTGATTACCTGTTTAACTTAATGGTATTCTTGAATTTACATAAGGCAGCAAAAAATAAATGAATAAATAAATAAAATAATAATATTTCAACAAAAGATATCTTTAGTTATATCTTGTTTTCAGAATTCAATAAAATCATAACTCATTGTGTATGTTAACCAAAATAAGGTGTGAACATTATTTAAATCCACATTTCAGGGAATGTAAACATCCTTCAGAATTGACCTTAACTTCAAAACAAACTTCATTTGCAGACAGAGGTGTTAATTTATCTCAATGTGACAGATAAGGATAATGTTTTGGATTTTCTTCAAGAGGAAATTCAATTAATCCCAAGGACTCATTGCAGCTTTCATAGTTTACAATAGGAACATTCTCAGTAGTTATCTCTCTTTCCCCATTCATTCTTATATGAAGTTATGAAGTAATCTACCCCACCACCCCAGCTCCAAACCAGATGACATATAGAACCAAACTTAGCATCAAAATATGTCTTACTGCCTATTCAACCAACATACCAAATCTGAACTTATCGGTAATTGGTCAACCATAAAAAAAGATTTTAGGAAAAAGCAAAAAATTTATGGACAGAAGAATGACAGACAGACAGTGATTACTATAGGCATCCGCAAATCCTTGCGGGGCCCTAATGAAATTGAAAAGTTATACTAGAGTTTCTGTATACTATAGTAATTTCTAATGCATTTACACTGGATACTGCATGAAAAGTTTTGATTTCTTATCATGAACATTATTATAAAATGTGTCTCTCATTGTAATTATTTGATAAATAATATGCAGAATTTTGTCTAAAAGGATGAATCGTTTAAACGTCCAAATCTGGCCCCCCGATAATTTACAAAAAAGTAAATTAAAGATTTTCTACATATTTTTGCCTCAATGTTTCCATCAAACATTGTAGTTTATTAATTTCAATTTCAGTTTTTACTTCCTTGCACTATAATTAGGTATTTATCTGGTTAATATAGCAGGGGTACGTTGTTTATATCGATTTCTCATAGACGTTAGGCCACACCCCCATTTTGTAAGCCCATTTTTTATATGAGCGCATGGATGTTTCAAGTTGTCGTAAAATACGGTCAATGTAAAGAGTTATACTAGTCATTTACATTCATGAAAGAAATTGAAACAGTCTTGCGTTCATTTGTTATTTCCAAAAAGGTGCAAAATCACGGGTTCTTGTCTCCATAGTAAAGGCACCTTGTTTACAAATTTCAACCCGTCTTTGATCTCATGAATAACAAAGCACTGAACACGTAACTCAAACCTATTCACTTTCACGCTTTGAGCACACCTGGTATGCGACATCGTCATGATCGTGTATAGTGTCTGCGAACTATCGATGGTCAAATCATTTTCAAATGGGTAATTAAAACTCTGGGAGAAAACTTTTTCATGATTAAGATGTGTTAAGATTTTTGATTTACTTGTTATTAAACGCTATTTCAGTCGATTTTGTTTGGTTTATTTTTCGGTATATATCAATTTATATTGAAGGCCTGTAGCATATAGCTTGCACTTACTGCTTGTGTCTCATAAATGCAGAATTTTAAAATTTAAATTACTGTGGGTGTATATTATACATTTGCCTTTGTTCCTAAATATACATCAGTGCTACGTTCATTGACTCTTGGAAGATATAAAAGATTTTTTTCAGTTAAAGCTGTCATTAATTTTAGAGACCGTTATTTCCAATTCATCATATCTTTAGAAAAATAAACTGTTTGTTACGAGTGCACAAATGCATACTTCTAATTGAAGAAAAAAATGAAGTACGGAGCGCTAAAAAGACCTGTGTATCGAATGAAAAGTCACTGAATGAAATCATTTGCACAAAATGCACCCCTAATTTAAATAGAAGGAAGCTACGGGTTTCTTCTGACGACACTGCAAATTCTATAACTTTATACATCGACACAAAATCTCACAAACATTTCCTTTTTTTCAGATCATGTAAAAAAGTCCATGTTTGCAGGTATTTTTAAAGCATAATGTTTAAAAGCAAGAAAATGCACTTGTATGACCTTTTCGCATGTCCGATCAACTTATAATTAAAGATTTAATATCTAAATTTTAGATATTAGTTAAAAAAATCAGTAGAATGGAAAAAGGCGTTAAAAATACCTTGGAGTGATTTATTATTAGTCCCCTACCGGTGAAACCGGAGGGGACTATAGGTTTCCTGTCCGTCCGTCTGTCCGTCTGTCTGTCCCTCTGTCTGTCTGTCAGTCTGTCCCACTTGGTTTTCCGCACTTTTTTCCTAAACGCTTGCAGATATTGAGCTAATTTTTGGTATGTGAGTGTATCTTGATGAGTTTCAGATCAAATTTGCATTTCGTTCCGCTTCATTGATTTCTGACGGAATTACGACCTCTTCAATTTTTAAGGGTTTTCCGCAATTTTCTTCTAAACGATTGCAGATATTGAGCTGATTTTTGGTATGTGACATTACCTTGGTGAGTTATAGAATAAGTTTGCATTTCCTTCTGCTTCATTGATTTTTGACGAAATTATGGCATTTTCAATTTTTATGGGAACCAGATTACACTTGCCGGTAGGGGACTAGTATTGCTAATGCAATACTCTCAGAATGCTTGTTTATCTTACTACTTGTACAGGGAGAGAGTCTGTTAAAATAAAAAAAAAGTACAGGAGTGGATTTCGAAATATTACGTATTTCTTGTACCACTCGGATTTTGCAAAATTATATATATATATGAAATAAATTCTAATACTGTAATAAGCTTAAATGGATTTATTATCTCTTTTAAAAAGGTTTCTTTAAAGTATGAAAAATAGTGCACCCTTCGTTATACGTTCTGTTTACAAATTCCATTGTGTATTTAATGTATAAATAATTTGACGAATTTCTAGTAAATCATTTCAAATACAACTCGTAAGTTAAGGAGAAAAAAAATCAAAGCCTGCCAAATTAAAAATGTATGCTTATATTTTGTCGGTTCTCTAGCACGAAAAAAGAGGGTTTTTAGGTGTCAGTTAATCATAAAACTTAGTACACCTCGAACACACGCTAATGTATTCATACTAATCGCACGCTTGATAGACGCTTCGCCTTCTCATTCAAATAATACAATGACCTACATAGCTGTAATGGCAAAACCGGGATTTTACAGTGAAGTACACGATTTTATTTAATCGATATAATGTATATACTGAAAGTCTCTTTCCCAAAAATCTTTTACGAGTATCTAAACAGATTATGCTTGAAGACTTTAGCTATAATATAACAATTTTCAGATTTGAAAAGGTATAATTCTGCATTAAAAAAGGGGCGAGAAGCAATGTTATGAAGATTCATTCTTTTTGGAACACAAATCTGAGACAAAAAAGAGATCTGAAAATTTCAGACTACTGTTAATGTAAATCAATTCTTATTTGAGAAAACTTTATATTTGTGTAATTACAGGCACAAGAGACAGTCTGTTCAGGAAAATTTCATTCTGGCACATATTTGATTCTTAAATATTGTACTCGTATAACAATAACTGAAATTTGTGAAAATTTTGTCTTGCTTATATACAAAATATCTTTCTTGCAAAAATAAGGTGTTACAGAAATTTGGTGATCAGTACTTTTCATTTAATAACTTGCTGAATATTCATTATCTGTAATTCTCTGACATGTTATAAAAACTGGTCACAGATAAAAATAATCTCATAATTTATTATAAGGAAAATTAAATAGTTATAAAGAAAATAAATCACAATAAACCACCAAGCTTCTTTCTTTATGCTCTTTCGTCATGTTTTGGGTGCCCCAAATGCATCTGGCATTCTTTCTATAGAGTATCTGAAAATATTTGACATTTGTTGCAGAATTGTTTAAATGATGTACATCTGTTTTCAAACAGTTTACATCATTTACTACTTCTAAAAAAACTTTTACCATAGTTTAACAAAGTTATAGCAGCAATACTGTAAATTTAAATGTGAAAATTATTGTTAAATATTCTTTAAATTAATTTGATATTTCAATGAAAACTTCCCTTTAATCAATCTTTTTATATTATAGCTAGATATCATTGAGATGGTGACCATATCAAAGGACTTTAAGAAACTTAAAGTACTGCTTTGATCATTTTTAATTCCATTAGTTCATACTGGAATTCTGGTATTAAAAGGAGTACATTTATTAAGAATGCTTACAGCATTTGTAGATTTTAATATGGACTTCTTTATTATTCCAGAACTAATACATGTATTTTTTTATTTGGTGACTAATGATGGTAAACATTAAAATCTAAAGTATAATGCCATTTACCTTCGTTGTTGTAAGTACATGATAGGTACCCCTGGAATCTTACGTATTCTTCTTCTCAAGTCCTTATCACATGTGGCAACAATATAACACTTATGCTGAAATAGTTGTGTGAATGTTCTAAGCATTTGTAACAATTCTTTCTTTGGGGGTTCTAATAACCACTGACTAAATATTCCTTTCACAAACTCATCCCACCCATTGAATCCTTGAATATAAAAAGGGAAACCCTGTCTAAAAAAGTTAAATGGAAACCCTGTCTAAAAAAGTTAAATGAAAACTGAGAGTTGAAAAATTCAGAATTTAAAAATATGGCCAATGTAATTCTTTATTATACATAATACAATTAATTATTAAATAGTATACAGTAGATTCCTAAATATACACTAGGAATTTATTATCGCATAATTTCTAGCTGCAATAATGTAGCCCTCTCCGATTTCTTTTAATCTGATATTTTCAGGAGAGGTCTCTCCCCCCCCCCCCCCCAAAAAAAAAAAAAAATTGGAGAGGGCTACATTATTGCAGCTAAGCATCACTTGTGAAATCAAGTCGCTTACACTTTTATGTTGGTGAAGTACACATGAAATCTCTTTATCAACAGTCCATTCGCAAATTCATCTTTTTGCAATTTCATGATGTCTACAAGTCATTTTGCAATATATCAAGTACTCATGTAAATTGAGGATTCTACAGCATATACAGACTTATATACATGTATGTACTGTAAATCTTAAAATATTTACGTTGATTTGTTTTTGCAACTTTGGGTCTAAATGCTATACACTGTGTATTATCAACTTTTTTGTTAATTCACCTCTGTGCTAAAAATTAAAAAAAAAAAATCAAAAAATATAATACTTCGATAAAATTATAACCAATTTTCATTTAGAAATTATTGAACTTATGAAAAAAATATCACAGGTCTCAGTGACCTTAAGGTAGGGTGTGAGACACCTTCCCAAAGATGAATTTACTGACCAAGTTCGATGATCCTAAGCCAAACAATTTTCGAATTATGAGTCTGACAGGGTTTTGCCATATGGCCATATAATCTTAATTAAAGGTTTAGTGGCAACAGACTGTCTACCAAAGGTGCACCAGCTGACAAAGTTTAATGATTCGCCACCTTTTTAAATCTAAAACAAAATAACTAAGTCCCAAAAAAAAGAAAATACACAGAAAAAAAACTGTTAAATGAAGAAAAAATGTCCAATCAAGATGAAAATACCAGGTGCTCATCTTTATATGGTAAATAAGGAGTGTTAAAATTTTTAGACAAATCCATGCACTAGTTTCTAGGAACTGTCTAGATACAGTCATTTCTACAGACAGATGGACATGCCGATTCCAATATAAACCTCTACTAGTAAACTTCCTTGGGGGGAGGGGGGTATAATAAAAAAAAATCTCTGTCATAAGAAGAAAAACCCATACAAACAAACATAATTAACATTTAGTTTTCTTATTTTTGAGAAAAATGTTGTGAATGCTTTGCATGTGCAAAATTCTTAAAAATTCATTTACGATAAAACTTTCCCAATTCGTGAAAATTACTAGATGACCCAAAACACATGACTTAATTAACAAGGTTATTTTTTTTTTACCATCCTTGAAAACTAGCCTTAAAACTTTTACTGTAATGAATGCTATTTTAAAGGGTGTTGCACAGACAAAACAGTTAAACAAATTTACATCAAGCACAATTCACTTTTCCAGGAAAGTGATTTTCATTCCATTTACTTTTAAAACATTTCATGAACTTATCGGATATATGTTTACAATATAATTCAAAAGTGTTGTTTGTTCACAATAATTCAAAAGTGTTCATCTCTGCACTTCACTATATAGGTGCATTTTAATGTGAAGCTATTTTTCAATATCTTTTCTCTTCTTTCTGAAGAAAAATGAAATCTGAAAGTAGTGTATTGTTACAATGATTTTGTTTATTAAAATAAAATTGTTTAACCTGTGTGATTCTCTGGACAATACAGTCATCAGCATAAGTTCCTTTATGTAAACATGGCAACCTTTTAAACCTTGGATCTCTTGCTATCCTACAGGATTAAAAAAAAAATACATCAATGGATTTTTTTTTCACAGCTGTAAACAAATATATACAAAAATTTAATTGGAAACTTCTCACTATGGCTAAAAGGATAACTGCACTTAACACCGAGTTTTGGGTCTTTTTCGGTCATTTCTGTTGTTAAATACCTTAATTTAATTTCACTTTTGTATATTTACTAAAGAATTCTGTCAATTTGGCACCAAATTTAAATGTTAAAATGATTTTAAACTGTGATACAATAAAATAATTCTATGTTTTTGTCCTTACATCTTTCCAAATATAGAGATTTTACACTTATCTGCCCTTGATTGAACATTAGGCATGCATGAGAGGTGCATGGAGCTAAAATTGTAAGAATGGGTCTAAAATTAGACTAGATAAATAACAATGACATGTATTAAAAAAATACTAGATCACTCTTTCCCATCTCCCTCTTTATTCTGTATGGCACAAGTACACTATTTACAAAGGTTTCCAAATGAAATTAACAGTATGAGCACGTCCATGTAAGTAAAGGATATTTAAATCAATGACCGACAATTTAACATGTTCGAGCACAGTGTCCTAATTAGCACAAAAAATGCTACCTTACAAGTCACGTGACGGAATTTAGTATTCACAGAGTTACCTGAGGTAAGAAATCACGTGGTGAATTATAATATTCAACATGTCAGAGCCCTTGGTTACAACAGCGAGAGCAAATATAAGTAGTTATTTTGCTTTTTAACCATGAGCGCATGTTTGTCTATTAATCTCCATTTGACACAACATTAGTAATGCAAATATACAACTACTGTTAAAAGGAAAACAATTGACAAACAAGCCCAACTATGTATAAAGTCAGTAAAAAAGTGGGCGTCCTCATTATCGTATGGATATTCAATAAATTGTGATGACCCCCACCTTTGAAAACAGATTCGTACTTTGTAAATACATACTTTTATTTAATGTAATTATGTTAATTTGTACATTAGATGTTGACCATTCATGCAATTAAAAGAAAAGTGCTTGTTTTGAAAGTTTATTTTGTCACAAATTTTGCATGTCCTTAAGTGCAGTCATCCTTGAACAAAAAAAAGAAGAAGCAGTGAACTACCTTAGTGCTACTCGATACTTGGAGCCCAACTTTTCCAATTCTCCCATGACACAGTCAGTTATATAGGGTATACCTGAAAGATTTTGTCATTGATTGCTAATACGTGTACTGGTATAATTCATTATTCATTCAACAGGCATCTGAGATTTAAATTTCTCTTCATGAATAAAAAAAAAATAATCATATTATTATATAGTCTATTTATAGTCCCTATATAAATCATATACATACAAGAAGAGGAATGTTTAAAACGTCAGATGCTTGTGCTCATTTTTATGTTGAAAAACTTTACAATCCTAAAATAGATCATGGAACCATTACTTTTGCAATTGCTTTTATAGACGTGTAAAAACATCATTATCTGTTTTCCATTAAGTGCATAGAAAAGCCTGTTAAATGTATAATTAGGAAGTCAGTTGCATAAAAGTCTGTGCATAAGGAATGCACATGTACCAGTGACATGAAATTCAATGTCCCTATAAGAAACATTCTTAATTTAGTTTCACTTCATCTTCATTTAGAATACGTAAAAGAAGTACATTTTCCAATATTTATATTATAATATAGATTAAAGTGTTTGTTGAAAGGGTACATGTATATTTAGTTTACAAATATTAGACAGGTGCAGGTCAAAATTCTTAATGATCTTTTTTTTTATTGATATTCAAATTTCTGTATTTCTTTAAGTGTTTTAAAAAACCTTGGTAACATGGAATTAAAATTCCCTGCCCAAAACAGTTTCCTCGAGGCAATTTTACAATAAGCAATCATTTTATTTCATTGTTAAGACATATCCTGCATTTGGGTTGGGATCCACTTACATTTAGCATAGAGACAATCCATCATTGACTGTATGATTTCCAGTTTATTTTTGATAGAGAAGTTAATGAAGTTTGTGTCCACAATGATATGGTATGGAGGTCCCAGCTGTGTGTTGTATTTGAAGAACATGGCTGAAGATGCCTGAGGCCTGGAAAAAAAACACAATAAAAGTTTTAACCACAATGTTTTTAGAGAAGACCAATCATATCTTATGTGAACTTGAAACAAATAAATTACAGTATGAATGTAATATATCTAATTATGATCTATTTAATGAGCCATGATTTTTTTTTCAAGTATTGAATTCACTTATCAAAATCAATGTTTATGCTCTAAAAGTGCAATAAATATAAAAATTGTAACATATTCCAATTAGTTTTTTGTGTAATTATCAATGTTGTACAAAAAAAACTTTTGGATTCTTTATCTCCCTCTTCTTAACTATGAAATTAAGTTTTTCATCCCATACCAATCTCTTTATCTCGTCCACTTTTAAAATGTACTGATAATTTTCTTAATACTTACAGATTTCTCTCTGTAATATTCTGTGGATTTGCCTTTTTGGATTTCCTTTTCTTTTTCTGCCGTTCTTCATATTTTCTGTATAGAAGTTGTAAGACAGTTAAGTGAGGGTTTCATGGCCATCGTGCACTTAGATTGTGATAATGAATTTTCTATAAAGGCTATTAATCCAGAAATGGGCCTGGGTTGGTGCAGTCAGGGGCAAAAATTCAGGCAGGTTCATCCACAGGTTAACATATATAATAACCTGGTTAGAAGACCACCTATACTGAGTTTGACTAAAAATAAAAGTTGCATTTTCTCTCTTCCTGTTACAGGAAAATACATCAACAATTAAAGTAACATCAACTTAAAATGTACTTACATGCGTGAATCTTTCAAGTTTATCATCCGTTTCATTGCTGCATATGTCTTGGCAGCTTTATTTTTGCCTTTTCCCTAGAATGCATAAAATACACAATTTGAAAGAAATCAATTATAATAATTAACTGCCAACTCAATTTTATATCATTTTTGGGAGCATTTGTTTTCTTAGATACATACAGATGTATATATATGTAAAATGATGTTCTATATATGAACAAAATCTAAAATGAGATAAGTTATTGACAAATAAGTTGATGATACAAGGATATTAAGAGTCTTGTTTACAGTCAACATTTTGCAAATTCTCTAGTCAATACAAAGACCTTGTTAGTAGGCCTGAGTATTGCAAGTTACCTTATGATATGATACATATCACAATATGGTCATGCAATACAACATGTATCATGAAACAGTTGTCAACAATTGAAATATCTTAACATATTACTCTTTGCTAACCTCCACAGTTATACAAAATATAAAAAGAATATCTTGATACCCCTGACTAAAGTTAATAATAGGTGGATTTATAGTCTTGACATTGTATTTTTTCTTTGCTACCTTTTCTTCAGCCATTTAAAAACATTAAAATTTGTTAGGTTTTATGTAGAAGTTTCAAACAAAACAATGAAAATTATCTTGTACTGTATCACGATACATACATGGCGATATGATACACTTATCGTGAGCCCTTGCGATCAATACAGTCAATGTATTGCTGTATTGTTACACCTCTACTTGTTAGCAAATACAATTTAATTTATTGTTAAGTTGAATGTTGTCTGATGTTTTCATATACGTTGTTAAGCCATTATTTTCACACTGAACTGTCAACAGATTTTTCTGTTTAACTGATCATAAGGAGCGTTGGGTAAGACCAGTTGACAGGGGATGCTTATTCCTCCATCTCTGGTGTTTTTAGAGGTTAGTGTTTGTACTGCTGCCAATTGTATTGTTCCAGTGAACTTTTGAGCTTGCCTGATTACTGTTTGATATCTTCATATTTTATGTATCAGTATATCAGCTGTATATTGTGAATATCAATTTCAGTGATATTCTTTATTACTCTAATTGAAATGATGAATTATAACACAAAAGTACAATGTCCAACACTCTTTTTCTCATGTAATTAAGTAATGATATGCTACAAAACATGATATGAGGTTAATAAAATTGAAAATACACTTGAATATAAAATTTTAATGTGCCCCAATTGGTAAATCGCATGATCTGTACTGAAGTTCGATATTACAATAGACAAAAGCTTTGACTACAACACTTTACACTCATGCGTAATGATATGTACTTACCATTTTAGCAATCGTGAGACGGTGAGTCCATCCAACGTGACAAAACCGGAAGTTGTTTAAGATTGAGGTCATGCTAATATCAGTCTTACAGAGGAAATTAGAATAAGGTGTCCCAAATGCATGGAATAATAATAATAATCAATTTATTGAATTAAAGACTATGAAAATGTTGAATAATGGGAATTTAAGTAAAATATATATACATATATGTAAACATCATATTAAAAGGTTTTTTTTAAATTTAATTAAATTTTATCCCGATCCCGCATTATATTTCTATTTCCTGTCGAATACAAATTAAAATTTGAACATTTTTTTAAATTATTAAATTATTTCCAAGGAAAAAACTCAAGAATTTTTTTTGTATTTTTTTTTATTTCAAAGTAATACAAAGTATAAACGTTTAATTACAGAATTGAAAATTAAACACAACAGGTACTCCTAAATTGATATCTAGTGTACATGAATTTATTAATCAAAATAAATTTATAATTTCATTGTTATTGAAATCAAAACATAAAGGATTGAAATTTATTATTAAAATGAAACAGAAAAATATAATATATATACAAAATATAAAATCATAATAATCATGATCAATGATCTCCAGGCAAATTGTTACCGCCGTCTGATCAGTTGTGTCATTCGCAGTTGATGTATAAAACAAAATTTACTTTTCTAACATTTTTTTCATTTTTAATTATTACTTTTTGGACTGTATTTAATATCCGGAAATACATCCAGAGTTGTCGTTCCTGCGACACTCCTGTAAACGCTTGTTGTACAAAATTTGTAAATTATGAAAAATTGTATTTATAATCGATTTTAATTATATATTTCTTATCGGAAAGCAGGATTTATTTTAATTTTTTAGTCCTTAAAGGGATTTTTAAATTAAGTTTTTTACTCCGCAAAATAGTTCCCTAAAATCGTTTTGTGGGATGATAGATTTAAGCAGCATAATAATTTAGTGCCTGATTACTTAAATGGACATACTTCCAGATATGCGCTGTAACACATCCATTTACTCTACAAGAAATTCTCAAAATTATGATATTCCAAAATGTCGATTACATACTTTTAAGTCTATGTGTATTCCTACTGAAGTTAACGAATGGAACAAAATTCCACTTGAAATTAGAAATGTACAGTCAATGTCAAATTTCAAATCTAAAATTAGTACTAAGAAATCTGCTCCGCCATCATACTTTGAATACGGTAACAGACGACTAAATGTCCTTCAAACCAGACTACGGCATAACTGTGTATTGAATAACGACCTTTACAGATGCAATTTAATATCAAGTCCTTTATTTGAAAACACATCTTTGTTAAACTCTCTCTCGTAAGTAATTAAGTAAATTACTAGATTTATTTCTTAATACAATGTAAACACAATAAAATTTAATATTTATTCAATAATTAAACATATACATTTAACTGAATTTGACTTTTTCATCAACTTACGCTAATGGTAGGGACTTATCTTCCCTAGCCAAAGGTTTCTGATCCGTTACTCGATCTCCTCACAACCCCAAGTAGTGGATCAAAAACTCTTGGCTAACAAGATATCAAGGCTATTGTAATATGTATGTTTTAAGCACATATTTAAAGAAGTTTTCCTCTAACGAGAGAGAGAGAGAGAGAGACCATTGCATGTGGTGAAGGATACCATATCTTTCGTTTATGAAACTCTCCAATTAATATCTTAAAAATTTAAATCGAATTGTTAAGTATCAATAATTTGAAGAGTCTTTTGTCTACGGAATATACATTAAATATAGAAGATGAAGACAGAATAAATATGACGTAGTAATTTCCTCGCTGCCTTATCTTTGTAACAGCTAGATACACAGAAAATGACACCGAAAGGCCTTCCAGAAGCTTTAAAATTGTCTTGTTCAAATCAGACGACACGTTTATTGCTAACCCTAGACGCAAACGTTAAAGTGTTAAAAATCACTGTTCCTCATTTAGAATAATATTGCTTGTCACTCTAATATATTTATTGTATGTACTTGTATCTTTATTTGCTTTATAAAGGGTATTGAAAGTGTGACCTTGTGGTCATTTTACCTACGTTGAATTTTTTCATTGACAAATCTTTTTTTCCAAATATCATTATTTTAAACTCAACTCCTCTTAACTTTTTGAAATTCCTGGCTGATTTGTCTACATCCATTAAAAATGTTCATTGAACTTTTTCAAAGAAACTCTTCTTTAATAAATTTAAAAAAAAAAAAAAGATCTTATTTTACAATATATATTGTTATATTTCAATAGCAAACGCATCACAAACAATGCTGTGTTAACAAATATATTGCTTAAAATTACGCAAATTAACTTTTTTTAAAATTCCAGATACATGTAAATGTAAATCCTAATGAACATAAGGACAAAGAATTTTCATGCAGTTAATTCACAAACGACGTTAAAACAGCATGCCCAGGAAGTTACAAAAATACGTCTTTAACGTTCAAGAAATTTTTATGACTATTTTTTTTTTATTTAATTTTTGAGCGTTCAGATTATTTTTAATTGCAATTTCCGGTGATATAACATCCACGAAGTAAAAGTTCATCTTTCAGAAATATATTGTTCATAAAGTTCGTGGACAATCATCTTCCAAAAGATGATTAGGCTACAGCGTAAAATGTAAGAGAATTTCGGGAACCTGTTTCTGTAGAAAAACGTCATTTTGACCCCCATTTGGACCTTAGGGTAAAATTAAAAATTTGAAAACTAATTGCACATCTACAGGACACCACCTATCATATTCCAAAAGATTAAATGGTTACTGCTTAAAATAAAAGAGGAGATTGAGGAGGAAGAAAGTGTGGAAGACGGACGGATAGACAGAGGGACGGACAGACAGACGGACGCACCTGGATAACAACAATATACCCGAACTTTCTTCAGAAAGTGCGGGTATAATGAAAACAGGTTTTATTCGTACCAAATCGCGGTAGTCCAGTAAAATTGACCTATTCATATGCAAGGGGTGGTCATTCGTTTTTTTTTTAAACTTACATAGTGCTCTTGTAATCCATGATATCGTGTCGAAATTAAGATTTTTTTTAGAATGTCATGGTGTTGACATTATTTTGACCATGCATAGTGCATACGCGTATTTTTTAACATAGCGTCAAAAAATATCACTTTGACATTCGCTGTCCGCTCAGGATGTAATTAGTCTGCGACAACCATCGTATCAACAAATCCTTACTACAGTGAGTCTGTTTCACTATACAGTGAGTGTTTCGTAACCCAAATTATAAAAGATCATGGCAAAACCACAGAAAAAAAGGCAAGTTATGTTTCCAAAAGAAACTTAGTTACAGTCACATTCATTTAATACATGAGTGCAACGACAATATTGTCCGAATAATTTGTTATTATTGAACAAATAGAACCATAGTCAGTGGCGGATTTAAGGGGGGGCGCACCCGGCGCGCGCCCCCCCTAAAATTGTCAAAGTTAGGGTAAATCATAGTTTTTGTCGAGAAAATGTAAAAATGTCTACTTGGTAGACCTCATTTTTACCCTACAAAATCTCTTAAATCCAGACCCCCTGCCTACTTATTGCGCCCCCCCCCCCTAACTTCAATTCCTGGATCCGCGCCTGATAGTCTAACATGTGTCATGCACTACAAGAAAAACAATCTCGATCAGCGCTACGTTTCGTAGTTTCTCATTTTTTTTTATAAAGGTAAATCCATTTCTGTAGTGTCATAAAAATAAAAGTTAACCTTGAATTA